TATTTACCTTAAACACCTCCATATTTAAAGATTCACTGGAAAGACTTAATACTTCTGGTTCAAATTCCCCACCCAGTCAGGCAAGGTTCAAATTCCCCACCACCCGAGCATTGACAACGGTCAAATGCTGAGTTGCCCAAGGGGGAGGGATGTTGAAGCTTTGAATCAATCTGCACATTTGTCTTGTACATGTAGTCCAGTATGATTAGATCCCTGATGAAATGCAGCTGTATATGTGTATTTTTCCTTAGTATAATAAGTTCTATGTTCAGTATGCAATAAATTATCGTGGAAGAAAGACGTTGTTCTTAGTGTCATGAGTGAAGGAGGAGGAAAAGATCTGAGCCCCTCTTTCCCCACTCAAGTGGAATTGAACCCTGCACCTTAGACCTTTGAATTAAATATTTCTAGGGTCCTCATTCTCTGTGATAGGGAAAGACCCTTAGCAGTTGAGCTACCAACTTAATTGACTTCAACAGCAATATAGAGCAGCACTGGCATTTTGCAATCATTTCCTGTTAGAGAGCCTTAGGTATCTGCAATCTTTGATCCCTACCCAAGGATCAGAGGATTTTTCCTTGTCAGTCTTCCTGTTCGTATTTAACGATGGATCCAATACTTCCAACTCGGGTGCCTGGAAAGTGCCATGCAGTTGACGTCTTTTGAATTTCATTTTCAGCCCAATTAACCGAGCAACCACGGCCCAGCTAGCAGCGGTCGGTGTGACCGTATCTTCAGCTTTTTGAAATTTTTGTAAATAAGGATTTCGGCAATAATCGCTAGTGGATCGGTCTTCACATTTAACACGACTGTAAACATCGGAGACTTTGCCTCTGCGGATGTTTTTCACTAATCTCCTCTCGCATTTCTGTAAAGTCATTCCTTTCCTAAACCTTTCGTTTTCAATTTCTTTTAGCGAGACATCCGTGGATGTTTTCTTGGATTTTGGAATGGATCTTACTGACAGTAACTTCGCATCTTCGTCAAAATGAACCATTTTACGTTCCCTGTTATCATTCGTTGCAGAGCTCTTTAGAATTCCAACCGATCCTGTCAAGGTGATGAAATAAGGTTTCCTATCTTCTTCCGAACTTGTCTCAGAAGTATTTGGTTTTGAAGCAAGTTTTATTCCCAAGCGCATTGTTTGATGGTCGATAGATGTTGTGGAGTGTTCTTTTTTACTAATTTCTCCAAGAAACCATTTTTTTGGCGTCGGTTTTTGGGATATTGCAGGAAGACGGTCTCCTATGTGGGCGCGAGCAGATGCGGGTCGCTTTCCATCTAATTTAGCCTCTTGCCTCGAGAGAAATTTCACTTTCTTAAATGACAGAAATGCTTTTTCTTTTTCCTTTTGCTTTTGAATTAAACTACGATATTTTTCGAGCTGATTTTGGTTTTGGTTTTTAAGTACCTCTGTCTGTCGTTCCTGCTCCGTAGCTAAAGCAAAAACGAATGTTACAGAATCCATACCTGGTCTCTTGTAAGCCCGTACTGCTTAAAATGTACGTGCCTCTAAAGTCTGTTTTAAGATTACTTTTGCATTGACGCTTTCCTTGTTTATTTTCTTTAATTGTAGTGTTGTGGTCGTTTATAGATCATAATCACTGTTTTAACAGCGTTAATGAGGTCGTTACCCAAACAAGGTTCACCAACTGCGATACCCACAGTGTTCAAAAAGGTGTGTACTGAATTCTGATTTACATATTTTTTTCTTCTATGCTTTCACGTTGTCGAAGAACTGTACATAAAATGGAAGTAAAACTATACTAATCAATTCAGAGAGTTTTCCAAAGTTTTTGTCTTTCAAAATGTAATGATCAGACTGAGCCTACAGCAGTAAGTTTTGGTGGCGTTGTGGTTTTGTCAATGAAGAAAGTACGAAGGTGGGCGGATTCCTTATTCTAAAACTCAACGAATTTGACAACAAGAGAATGGCTTAATGAACACTTTGTGCTGTGGAACAAAACTAACAGTCACTAATGGAAAAGCTTTTAATCTGTGACGCCATAAGGTGACACCATCTACAAACAATGGGGCGATCCCGCTCGCTTTAAAAGAACATTATCACTTGATTCAAAGTTTACTTTTGTTCATCAAAATCCTTTTTTGATTTTTTTCTAGTTTGACTCGATGTAAGCTTGTATATTAATTGACCTAGAAGACATTAACTATGTATGCTTCGTAAATAATGACATCCATAAATTCCGAAGTGTGGAAATCCGAAATAGAAACTTTAACAGCTGATCATTAGAAAGCTTTCTAAGAAATGACTTGTCAGTCGTACGCAGATAAATTATTGTGAAGATTGAAATCTTATAATGACAGCTTATCATTCAATGGCAGCGCCGGACTCAAATCGTAAGTCGAAAAGCTGCATCCAGCAATCGCTATGGACACGGTTATAAGACGCACGTGATTTGACTTTATCGAAACTGACACGCTCACCATTATCTAAATCTTTTAAGAAAGCTCTATTGCTGGACAAAAAGAACTTCGAAGCATAATACTCTAAGTTTATAACAAACTAATGTCATTATCACCGTCAGTGCCTCTGTCACTGTTAATGTCAATGTCACCACCAACGTCGATGTCGGTGTCACTATCAACGTGAATGTCAATATCATCGTCAATGTCTGTGTCAACGTCAATGTCTATGTCAATGTTGATGTCATTATCATTTACAACCATGAACCAAACCATATTTATATCGAA